CACACACACACAAGGGCAGCAGCATATGGCATTCAGTAGTGCGCGCAGCATTGGCGGGAGGGGACGCTTGCTTTGCACATTCTGAGAAACCCACATCTCCCGTCAACAGTGACGGTTCAGGTGACCCTCGCTACTTGATTTGGGGACCACCCTCCCCTTCATGTCCCCTTGACAGTGGAATTAAGGGTGACTCCAAACGTCCTTTCCTTCCTGGCATGAGCCCCATACCCCGCCATCCCAGGGGAGGCTTCCAAGGTGCCCAGCTGCCAAGGAACTAGCTGTAGCCGTTGCAGTGACGGGGAGTGCATAGTGCGGCGGCAGGAAGAGGAGGAGGAGGAGGAGGGAGAGAAAACGCTGCACTGGCTATCAATTTAGAGTGCAGCGGCTTCTGCCGCTGCCGTGGAAGGAAACGCTGCCAACCGCAACAAACGCCACCCTCGGATACCTAAGTGAGCATGTGTGCGACTCTGCGCACGCCTAGTTGCGCCGCTCAATGACAACGGATTCCTTAGGAAATTATCCTGTTACCGGGTTTTGTGTGTACCCAGAAGGCCCAGGAAAGGGCCTGTCTGGGACTGAAGGGTAGGGTAAAGACCGAAGTGACATCAAGGAAGAGGTGGGAAGAACTGGAGACTAGGGCAGCCGCTCGGGTCAGTCCCCACTAGAAACTGAAAATGGGCAATGACTGCATATGCCACCTCCTAAGCCTAAACTGGAACTGTTTCTCTGTGCAGCCATCATTCATTCATTCAACAAATATGTATTTCCCTCCTGCTTAGAGCTAGAGCCTATTCTAGGAGCTGGGAATATAATGGGGGAACGGACCCAGACACCATACTTGTCCTTAAGAAAAAGTCTAGAATGTTTTGTGTGTTACCACCTGAGAAAAGTCGTATGCCAAGGTGGACATCCTAGATGCTTGAAGTCCTCCCATAATCTCATGTATTATTTTGACCATTATTCAGAGGCCAAAACTTGCCCACAGATATACAAGTAGCAGGGTCAGGCTCCAAATCCTAGCCTGTCAGAGCCTTTGGCTACCTCCTAGGCTCTTATAACAATAATGAGCCCTTGCAGCAGCTCCTACGTGTTCAGACCTTAAACTTCACCAGCCTTTAGCTGCCTCTTATACCTGTGTTTTGCCTCTGACCCTTAGGAAATAAGGGTTGGGCAGGGGAGCGTCCTGTTCAACAATGAGCTTGTAACTGTGCTGAAACATCAGGACAGGAATTTGGCCTAGTAGATACTTGTTGGATACTTACTGTGTGCCAGGGGTTGAGGAAGACATAAAGATAAATAAGAAGCTCTAAGGGAGTTTATAAAATAGTTGAAGAAACAAGACAAGTACAAAAATTGTTGAACAGAGCTACTCACTGTATTAAAATACTATGATTCCCCATGACTGTCCTTTATCCCTGTTTTCATTTTCTCACTTCTTGTTCTTTTTATTTTTTAATCAAAACGACATCTATCATTTAAAGTCTGAGATGAAATGCTCTCCTTCAGTATTGTCTCTCCTCTAACTATTGTAGAATTAATTTACTTCCCCACTTCTCAAAATACTAAACAGGGCTACCTTTTTTTTTTTTTTTTAGAGAAGGGTGTTCAAAGAAGAGGTACAGATATAAGAAGAATTAGTAAATACATAAAGAATATAGTAATATAGTATTGGGATGATAGGACTTAATCATTTTTGTTAGTAGTATAAATTTATACTCTTCAAATTGAGAGTCAAAAGGATAAAACCAACATGAATCACGGTGCATTGGCACATATATTTCTAGAGCATTTACTTAGAAGTGGTTAGTAGAACAGCTTGCACAAAGGGACTCAGCAAATGTTACATTTTTGTAGATAATAATAAGATCTTTGGTAGATATGACATTTCCAGATATTACACATAGTCACAATTACTGTTTCAGGTCATAATAAAGAATTACCTTTAGTAAGTCTGGGAAGAAAAAGATAAACCATTAAGTGACCGCTGTCAAGAGATAAGACTGCACTTTCATGGTGAGTGTGGGATCAACAAAAGAATAGTTAAGAAAAGTATTATTGCGTTAAAATTTTGGCTCTGCTGTTAATGTGGAGAACAAGAACTTAGGAATGACTCTGGCTTGTGGCTATTCTCATATCTGTGAATTCTACTTTCACAGAAAAAAAGAATGCATTAACTTACCTGTCTTTTGTAATTAAAAGCTATTTTATAAAGGCTTAAATGCTAATGACAAAAATTGCAAAATAATAACACTTAAGGGACTTTATTTCGGCTGGCCTCTGCCTTGAATTCTGAATTAACTAGCACTATTCAAGGTAAATCTTCATGTTGGCAGCACGTGCGTTGGGGGAAAGGTAACAGGAGGATGTAACACTCATCCTTAGGCGGTGGGCACATTACTTCTTGTTTTTCAGGTCCCAGTTCTCCCACCTGAAGGGAACTCATTACCCTAAGCCGAATGCCTGTAGTTGACAGCCTGCCTACCACTTTCCTTACTCTTCCTCAAGCTGCTAGTAAAATACGGAGAAGTGGATTTTTTTTCAGATTCCGTAAGGCTCAACCGCTCCACACCCTGAGGCTGAGGGAGTGGTGGAGGAGAGGGGGTGGGGAGGGAAAAGGGCTGGAGTTACTGAGCATGTGCGAGGAGTGGCGCATGCCTAGTGCGGCCGGCAGCTTCCCATTGCGGGCAGCCCCGGCGGGTGGCAGCGGTGGCGGCGGCAGCAGCGGGGCACCGCCTCCTCCTCACACTCCCGAGGTGGCGGGGTTAGATGAGCGGCCCTAGTAGCGGCGAGGGCGGTGCGGGGGGCAGGAGGAAGAGAAGGAGGAGGCCGCTGTCTTTGTAGTCTCCCTGCTGCGGGAGTGGAAGGCCACCGCCGGAGCCGTCGTCGTTGGAAAAGGGCTGTGTGTGCGCGCGCGTGTCTGCCTGCCCGGCCCGTGGGGACGAGGCAGCGGTGGCGGCGGCGAGGATGATGATGTGCGCAGCGACTGCCTCCCCCGCCGCCGCCTCCTCGGGGCCCGGTGGGGACGGATTCTTCCCAGCTGCCACCATCTCTTCCTCCCCGGCGCCGGGGGCGCTGTTCATGCCGGTTCCCGAGGGCTCCGTGGCTGCGGCGGGGCTGGGGCTGGGGCTGCCGGCCGCGGACTCCCGGGGTCACTACCAGCTGCTGCTGTCAGGCCGGGCCCTGGCCGACCGCTACCGGAGGATTTACACAGCTGCGCTCAGTGACAGGGACCAGGGGGGCAGCAGCGCTGGACACTCGGCCTCCAGGTGAGTCTCCGGGTGCCCTTCCTTGCGCCACATGCGGCATGTGCGTGCGCCCGTGTGCGTGTGTGTGTGTGTGTGTGTGTGTGTGTGTGTGTGTGTGTGTGTCTACGTACTTATTTACTGAGCTGTCTTCCAGCAAGCGCTTGATGCTGAATGGTAGAAGCACTTGCTAAGACAGGAGGGTGCGGTGGCAGCAGTTTCTGCTCTAAATGTGTGTGTGCATGGCTTTGTGGGGGGTTCGTGAGGGTGGGAGGGTAGCGTGTGATGTTAGAAAAGGTGATGGTGCGAGTCGTCATTACACGTGTGTGTATTGTTGAGGAAGGAGGAGGAATGGATAGTGGGTAAGAGGGTAATACAAGAAGAGAATTTGCAGGAGTGGTGAGGGAAGTGGCATTTCCAGTGTCTCTGCCGCAAATGTATTTGCACGTATTTCTCACCTCCCCATCCCCCATGACATTCCGTTCTCCCTTTTCACCTCCCTTAAAAAATCTACCTTTCACTTAAGAGAGCAATGGTATAGGTTAAAGGTAATGTCTCATATATATATTCATATCTATGTTTATATATATATATATATATATATATATATATATGATGAAAACTCATCAGACTGTCCAATAAAGCATGGGGTTTCAATTTAAGAGAATTAAGCAAAAAGGATACAGACAGATTTATGTGGATGTGAAAGGTGTCTGATATATATTTTTAGAGCTGTACTTTGATAACTGGTCCCTTTAGTCTTCTAGAAATGTGGTTGCAATTGCTCTTGTGTCCTAATGTTCCATCAGCCGTTTCCCTTCATCTTGTGTTCTATTTCCTCTGTCACTTATAGGTTCTAGAGGAGAGGGGGTTTTGTGGGGAAAAGGGGAACACTGAAGAACTTCAAAATATGACAGCTGGTGTAGGGTTCAACTGCTACCAACTAGAAAATTTGAGTAGCTCCTAGATCTCCTAGGCTCATTACACCTTCTGCTTCTTTGATGTAGGAGATGATAAATCACTTTCATTTTCTTTTTCTTAAAATATGGGTGTCTTTTTGCTGAGTGCTCTTCTGTTGCTCTGTGTGTGTGTTTCCATGCCCTTACATGCCACACACCCTGAAGGATGGTGACTGACTTGTTTCACCAGCTTGGCTTTGACAGTGGTAATTGGGAATTGGCATCACCTTTTTTCTCACAGCTTCTTAAAATACATGGGGAAATGGGGAAAGCCTAGTAGGATTTTGTTAAATGTTACCGCATTTACTGTTTTATTGAATGCAGTTTGTTAGGCAATAACCAGCTGTCATTTTCTTCTATTAGTGAAAGAGGGTAGGCTGTAAGTCAGGTATTTGGGATTTTACCAGTATGTGTTGTGGCTCTCATCTATTGCAGAGAGAGTTGTAAAGGTGGAGCTTTGTTCACGGTTTTTCTGGGTAAACCAGTCTTCTCTTGTCTGTAATTCAGGATTGGGCACATGCGTAGTTTTATCATATGGATATAAATATGTGTAACTACCTTTTGCTATCTAAGCTGAAGGCCACAAAGGCACAAGTCTGTTTCTTCCTAATGTTTTTAAAAATAACACAAAACCTCATTAGACAGTTTGCTCTGATAATTAGGTATCATTTTGAGCTGTGAGTCTCTAAATTATGACACTGTAGGTACATCTTTACAAAGAATTTGAGTTTGTTTTCAGAGTTATGCAATATTTATCACTGGTATATTCCTATTTTAATTTTTTACTGCTAGTGTAGTAATGCTATTTCTAGGTATCTAAAATTGTATTAACAGTTTTAGACAAAATTAATATAGATTAACCACATATATAAAATTTGTGGGTGATTTTTAGTTTTTGGCCCATTTTTACAAGCTGTCAATTAAAATTAATGAATTAGTTCAAGTATTTCAAGAAGTACTTATGGAAACCAGCCTTAAGCTGTATAATATTGCTGTCTACTGCTTCTTCAGAACATTATTTTTTATTATCATTCACATTACTTTTTCTAAATCTTAGCCTGCAACTGTGCTTTATTGAGAATTTGCTTAAGAATTCAATCGTATTTCTTATTAAATATGGCGGGGAAAATGGAGCTAGGGTTTAGGTTCTGAGTGAATATTATTAGTTGTATAGGGGCACTAGCTGAGTTAGGGGAGCAGATGTGATCTTTCAGAGACAGATAATGGAGCGAGAACAGAAGATGAAGCTTTAGTGAGCATCAAGTTTAAAGGTATGAGAAAAAAGGAGACAGTGAAGGAAGCGGAAAAAAGATACAACTATTAAGAAGAGAACCATGAGATAGTAGCACCTCTGATTCTAAGAAAGTGGACTGAAAGTCCTTAGCAGTGTTAAATGCTGCAGAAAGTGAGAATGCTTTCCAGGTCACCAATGACCTTTGCGTAGTAGAGAGGTGTGGTGAGGAGTCAGGAGGAGATGTTGAGGCAGGGCTCAGGGAAGGATATTCAACTACAGAAAGGTGGGTAGGAAACATTCAATAAGTGGAGAAGGAGAAATTAAAGAAGTGAGAGGGGGATAATTGATGGTAAGAGGACAAAGGAAGATCACAGGGACAGTTTTAAGGTGACAGGTGGAAAGGTTAGCCATTGAAAAAAGTAACTGTTTTTTTTTAATATAGAAGGGGAGAAGGTAAGTTTTTATAAATATAAAGACCAGGAGTTTATTAAGGTTAAAAATTGTATCCTATTTATTTTGGTAATTGAAATATCTAACACAATATTTGACATCCATTCGGTAAATATCAAGTGCCTACTGTAAACTCCGCACAGTTTTAGGTGCAGAACACAATAGAGAAGGTCTCTACTCTCTTGGAACTTCCACTCTAGTGGGGAGAGAGAAACACCTGATAATATTAGGTAATAATAAGTATAAAGAAAATAAAACCAATTTCCTGTGATAGACGATTTGTAGCTGGGGGAGGCTATTTTAGGTAGGGTGGTCAGGACAGGTCTTTGGGAGTTGACATTTAAGTTGAATCATAGTGGGCAGGTCTGGTGGAAGAGTCTTTTAGGGAATTTTAAAGGCTCTGGGTGAGAACATTCTTCAAGGAACAAAAAGCGAGTTATCAGCAAATGTTGAATGAATTACTGTGGGTTATGTTTTAGGTGTACAGTAGAGAAGTTGAGGGATGCAAGCCTAATGGAGTTAATGACTTTGATGCCATTCTTAAGTTCCACTGGTTTTAAATCTTAGCTCTGCCACTTTTTAGCTGTGCGACTTCGGGTATACTACGTAACTCGTGTGCCTCATATTTTTTTAATTAAGATATAACTGGCATATAACATTATATTAGTTTCAGGTGTACAACATGATAATTTTATTTTTGTGTATATCGTGAAATGGTCACCACAGTAAGTCTAGTTAACATCCATCAGCACAAATAATTACAATTTTTTTTTCTTGTGATGAAAACTTTTAAGATTTACTTTCAGCACTTTTAGACATACAATACTGTATTATCAACTATAGTCACCATGCTGTACATTGCATCCCTATGACTTACAAAAGGTTTGTACCTTTTGACTATCTTCATCCATTTTGCCCAACCTCCCCTTCTACTAATCTGTTCTCTGTATCTATGAGTTTGTTTTATGTTTTTTAGATTTTAGATGTAAGTGAGGTCATAGGGTATTTTGTCTTTCTCTGCCTGACTTATTTCACTTAGCATCATGCCCTCAAGATCTATCTATGGCGTTGCAAATGGCAAGATTCCCTTCTTTTTATGACTGAATAATAAATACTCCATTGAACATATATACACCGCGTTTTCTTTATCCATTCATCCATTGATGGACACTTAGGTTACTTCCATGTCTTGGCTTTTGTAAATAATGCTGCAAAAAACATGTTAGGCAGTGCAGATGTTGTATTTTCATTTCCCTTGGATAAATACCCAGAAGTGGAATTGCTGGATCATGTGTTATTTCAGTTTTAATTTTTTGAGGATCCTCCATTCTGTTTTCCATAAAGCCTGCACCAATTTACATTCCCACCAATGGTGCACAAGGGTTCCCTTTTCTCCACATCCTCACTAACACTTGTTATCTCTTGTCTTTTTTGATAATAGCCATCCTAGCAGGTATGAAGTGATATTTTATTGTGGTTTTGATTTGCATTTTCCTGATGATTAGTGATGTCGAGCACCTTTTCATATGCCTGTTGGCCATTTGTATGTCTTCTTTGGAATTTTTTAATTGGATTTTTTTTTTTGTTATTGAGTTGAATGAGTGTGTGTGTGTATAGTATTATGTATATAATATTTCAGATATTAACCCCTTATCAGATATATTTGCAAATATTATTTCCCATTCTGTAGGCTGCCTTTGCATTTTGTTGATGGATTTCTTTGCTGCGCAGCTTTTTTAGCTTGTTGTAGTCCCACTTGTTTATTTTGTTTTTGTTTATGCCTCAGTTTTCTTATATGTAGAATGGAGAATGAATTCATATATGAAAAGTGCTTGGCACAGTAAGTGCTATTAAATATTAGTTACTGATTTCTGCTGAGAGTGAGTGGGTGGATGGAGTTTGGGGACTTAAAGAGAAGGCGAGGATCATGCCTCGCTCTTTTATTTTTGGTCTCATTGATTGTTGACTGTGGGGATAACTATTTCATTTATTCAGTGACTGAATAAATATATTTTTGTGTGACTGAACCAATCAAAATTGGAACATTTGCTTGGGGAAAGGGATTGATAGGAAATGAATACAGGAATGTTTGATCAGTTCTGTATGTGCATGGCAGTATAACATTGCACTTGAAAAGAACTGTAGCCCAGTGGCTAAATCTGCTCTGGAGGCAGACTGAGTACCTTAGTTCAAATCCCAGTTCTACCTTTGTCTCTCTTAAGTTGGGCAAGCTAATTTGTATTCCTTTGTCTCTTTCTGTACTTATAACCTTATTGGGTTATTGAAAAGACATTGTGTCTGTACATGGTAAATGCTCATTACAGTTAGCTGCTTCTGTTATCATATTATTATTAAAACCACATATTTAAAATTCCAATCAG